GGAAGGGAAGAAGGGCTTTAAAAAACATATTAAAGTCACTACTGATATGAGATTCTGCCTCCCATTACTTCCCGTGCAACCCCAGAGACTCTACTCACCTCCACAGGGTTACCTGAGGTGAAGGCAGAATTTGGCCCAGAATGTACAGAAATAGTTACATATAGGGTCATATTGTGACTTAGCCTAAATGTGCCTGCATAGAAAAATAAGAGCACACAAATCACAGATTGCTGCTTTTAGGAGTGGGATGTATGAAGAGAACAGTTTCCTAACCAGTCCTGCTTATAGCCTTGGTTCCTATTAAATGATTTCAGTTTTACCCTAATGTTAAGAAGTAATATACATTTCACACTATATTACACCCTCAATCACAAACCACATTATTCTTAAGAACTAGTGACATATTGTAGATTAAAAATGGGGCTGCCCAAACTTTTACACAAACTCAAACTAAACATTCAGATAAAAATAATAGAAAGGAAAAGTTCAGTTCTATTCACCTTTGCCCTTTCTGGTTCAAGTCAGTGTTGGAACAGAAGTGCCAAAATATAGTGAGAAGGATTTTTCTTGCAAAATTCCAAAATGTGCAGATTCAAAAGGTTCTGAACTCCAGGTAAGGTTTGGATGAGCATCCAAATGGATATTTGATGTTTGACCATCACTAGTTATTAAATTATAAAATATTATTATAAGAGTTGGGCAACATTTTTCACGTCTTTTGTATGTGAAAAAACTGCAGATTGGGTAACACAAACATTTGGGAAATTTGGGAAATAATTCTGCAAATTTGACAATCAAAAAATAAATGTAAAAGGAATTCAGGAAAAAAATCAAAATGTTTCATTTTAACATTTTCAAAACCAAACATTTCAATTTTTTGTTTTGAAACTATGTTTTGTTTCAAAATATCCTTTGATTGTATTTAAAAATGTTCAAAATAAAAAAAAGTTTCAGGTTGAATGTAATATTTTGATCCACCTGCAATGATTTTTTTGAACTGTTCAATTCCCTGCATTTTTTTTTGAAAGTTTTGTTTGACCTGAAACTATTTCTTTTAATATTTTTTTTAATTGGTAGTGAACCAAAATTATTTGTTGTTCATCTGATTCCAATTATTATGAACACTGTTGTATAAATAACTGTTGGGCTATGACGAACCAAGACATTTCAACATTGACTCCAGCTCTGTCTTCTGCTTTCATAATATGATAAGTAATTTTATTTGAGTGAAAACAACTATTGAGCATAACTGGCAATGATGCAACTTGCAGAAAGTGAGTTTTGTTGAATGTGTCACAGAGTTCTTCTAATAAGGGGTATGAGTACACTTTAACAAAGTTTCCAATCCCAGTTCACAATGGTGTTTACATAAGACTTGTCAACCTCACTGGTCAAGGCTTTAAAAAGTATACATAATGAAATTCAGGCTTTTAAAATTTGACTAATTAACACAGGAAGAGAAACTATTCTATCCCAAAGCCCATATATCAGGGGTGGCAAACCTGTGGCTCCAGAGCCACGTGCAGCTCTTCAGAAGTTTAATATGTGGCTCCTTGTATAGGCACCGACCCCGGGGCTGGAGCTACAGGCACCAACTTTCCAATGGACCAGGGGGTGCTCACTGCTCAACCCCTGCCTCTGCCACAGGCCCTGCCCCCACTCCAGCAATTTCTGCCCAGGTCTCATGTCATGGTCCATTCCATAAGGGGCGCCTACCAACTCCCCCACAGATACTAGAAGCTTTCTATGTATTTTCTTAATTTGCCCTGGCCCCATCTCAGGTTTAACCTTGTAGACTGGCAGATCTCCCAGGTTTTCCAGGTATGGTATTGCCTTCCATCTGTCAGCAATCTTGTGTTTGCCAGGAACACCCAAATGTTGCACCAAGAAATAGGTGTGTTCCTGTAAATACAATTTTCTCCTGAAGTCTCTCCCCCTCCCCGCTAGCTGTCAGGGGAGAGTTCATTCAGACCCTGCCTACATAACTTTAGTGAGCAAATGAATCTAGGAGAGGAGAACCACAGATTTCTTCTGTTTTGAAGACACCTTTCCCCCCTTCCTTTCTTTCTTAACTTTATCTCTACCCAAATGTGTAACTGTATGCATGATACTGATAAAGTGAAGACCTACCCTCATGGTAGTTAAGTAGAATAGTCAACTTTTAAAGTTGATAGTCACTTTAGTCATCTTCCTTAATATCATTCCAACCAAAGTGTTTATAGAGCAAAAAAAGGAAAATTTCTCTCCTCAATGTCTCAAAATTGAGAGCTCAGATCTCCTAGCCTCTGCTTCCTTAGGGTATGTCTACACTACGGAATAAGGTCGAATTTATAGAAGTCGTTTTTTTAGAAATCGGTTTTATATATTCGAGTGTGTGTGTCCCCACAGAAAATGCTCTAAGTGCATTAAGTGCATTAACTCGGCGGAGTGCTTCCACAGTACCGAGGCTAGAGTCGACTTCCGGAGCATTGCACTGTGGATAGCTATCCCACAGTTCCCGCAGTCTCCGCTGCCCATTGGAATTCTGGGTTGAGATCCCAATGCCTGATGGGGCTAAAACATTGTTGCGGGTGGTTCTGGGTACATATCGTCAGGCCCCCCTTCCCTTCCTCCCTCCGTGAAAGCAAGGGCAGACGATCGTTTCGCGCCTTTTTTCCTGAGTTACCTGTGCAGACGCCATACCACGGCAAGCATGGAGCCCGCTCAGGTAACCGTCACCCTATGTCTCCTGGGTGCTGGCAGACGCTGTACGGCATTGCTACACAGTAGCAGCAACCCCTTGCCTTGTGGCAGCAGATGGTACAATACGACTGGTAGCCGTCCTCGTCATGTCCGAGGTGCTCCTGGCCATGTCGGCTGGGAGCGCCTGGGCAGACATGGGTGCAGGGACTAAATTTGGAGTGACTTGACCAGGTCATTCTCTTTAGTCCTGCAGTCAGTCCTATTGAACCGTCTTATGGTGAGCAGGCAGGCGATACGGATTGCTAGCAGTCGTACTGTACCATCTTCTGCCGGGCAGCCATGAGATGTGGATGGCTTGCAGTCCTTCTGCACCATCTGCTGCCAGCCAAAGATGTAAAAGATAGATGGAGTGTATCAAAACAAGAAATAGACCAGATTTGTTTTGTATTCATTTGCTTCCTCCCCTCCCCCGTCTAGGGGATTCATTCCTCTAGGTCACACTGCAGTCACTCACAGAGAAGGTGCAGCGAGGTAAATCTAGCCATGTATCAATTAGAGGCCAGGCTAACCTCCTTGTTCCAATAAGAACAATAACTTAGGTGCACCATTTCTTATTGGAACCCTCCGTGAAGTCCTGCCTGAAATACTCCTTGATGTAAAGCCACCCCCTTTGTTGATTTTAGCTCCCTGAAGCCAACCCTGTAAGCCGTGTCGTCAGTCGCCCCTCCCTCCGTCAGAGCAACGGCAGACAATCATTCCGCGCCTTTTTTCTGTGCGGATGCCATACCAAGGCAAACATGGAGGCCGCTCAGCTCACTTTGGCAATTAGGAGCACATTAAACACCACACGCATTATCCAGCAGTATATGCAGCACCAGAACCTGGCAAAGCGATACCGGGCGAGGAGGCGACGTCAGGGCGGTCACGTGAGTGATCAGGACATGTACACAGATTTCTCTGAAAGCATAGGCCCTGCCAATGCATGCATCATGGTGCTAATGGGGCAGGTTCATGCTGTGGAACGCTGATTCTGGACTCGGGAAACAAGCACAGACTGGTGGGACCGCATAGTGTTGCAGGTCTGGGACGATTCCCTGTGGCTGCGAAACTTTCGCATGCGTAAGGGCACTTTCATGGAACTTTGTGACTTGCTTTCCCCTGCCCTGAGGCGCATGAATACCAAGATGAGAGCAGCCCTCACAGTTGACAAGCGAGTGGCGATAGCCCTGTGGAAGCTTGCAACGCCAGACAGCTACCGGTCAGTTGGGAATCAATTTGGAGTGGGCAAATCTACTGTGGGGGCTGCTGTGATGCAAGTAGCCCACTCAATCAAAGATCTGCTGATATCAAGGGTAATGACCCTGGGTAATGTGCAGGTCATAGTGGATGGCTTTGCTGCAATGGGATTCGCTAACTGTGGTGGGGCCATAGACGGAACCCATATCCCTATTTTGGCACCGGAGCACCAAGCCGCCGAGTACATAAACCACAAGGGGTACTTTTCAATAGTGCTGCAAGCTCTGGTGGATCACAAGGGACGTTTCACCAACATCAACGTGGGATGGCCGGGAAAGGTACATGACGCTCGCATCTTCAGGAACTCTGGTCTGTTTCAAAAGCTGCAGGAAGGGACTTTATTCCCAGACCAGAAAATAACTGTTGGGGATGTTGAAATGCCTATATGTATCCTTGGGGACCCAGCCTACCCCTTAATGCCATGGCTCATGAAGCTGTACACAGGCAGCCTGGACAGTAGTCAGGAGCTGTTCAACTACAGGCTGAGCAAGTGCAGAATGGTGGTAGAATGTGCATTTGGACGTTTAAAGGTGCGCTGGTGCAGTTTACTGACTCGCTTAGACCTCAGCGAAACCAATATTCCCACTGTTATTACTGCTTGCTGTGTGCTCCACAATATCTGTGAGAGTAAGGGGGAGACATTTATGGTGGGGTGGGAGGTTGAGGCAAATCGCGTGGCTGCTGGTTACGCGCAGCCAGACACCAGGGCGGTTAGAAGAGCACAGGAGGGTGCGGTACACATCAGAGAAGCTTTGAAAACCAGTTTCATGACTGGCCAGGCTACGGTGTGAAAGTTCTGTTTGTTTCTCCTTGATGAAACCCCCCGCCCCTTGGTTCACTCTACTTCCCTGTAAGCTAACCACTCTCCCCTCCTCCCTTCAATCCCCGCTTGCAGAGGCAATAAAGTCATTGTTGCTTCACATTCATGCATTCTTTATTCATTCATCACACAAATAGGGGGATGACTACCAAGGTAGCCCAGGAGGCGTGGTGGAGGAGGGAAGGAAAATGCCACACAGCACTTTAAAAGTTTACAACTTTATAATTTATTGAATGACAGCCTTCTTTTTTTTGGGCAATCCTCCGGAGGCCCCCCCACCGTGTTCTTGGGCATCTGGGTGTGGAGGCTATGGAACTTGGGGAGGAGGGCGGTTGGTTACACAGGGGCTGTAGTGGCAGTCTGTGCTCCAGCTGCCTTTGCTGCAGCTCAACCATACACTGGAGCATACTGGTTTGGTCCTCCAGCAGCCTCAGCATTGAATCCTGCCTCCTCTCATCATGCTGCCGCCACATTTGAGCTTCAGCCCTGTCTTCAGCCCGCCACTTACTCTCTTCAGCCCGCCACCTCTCCTCCCGGTCATTTTGTGCTTTCCTGCACTCTGACATTATTTGCCTCCACACATTCGTCTGTGCTCTGTCAGTGTGGGAGGACAGTATGAGCTCGGAGAACATTTCATCGTGAGTGCATTTTTTTTTCTTTCTAAGCTTCACTAGCCTCTGGGAAGGAGAAGATCCTGTGATCATTGAAACACATGCAGCTGGTGGAGAAAAAAAAAGGGACAGCGGTATTTAAAAAGACACATTTTATAAAACAGTGGCTACACTCTTTCAGGGTAAACCTTGCTGCTAATATTACATACATAGCACATGTGCTTTCATTACAAGGTCGCATTTTGCCTCCCCCCACTGCATGGCTACCCCCTCAACCTTCCCCGCTCCCTGTGGCTAACAGCGGGGAACATTTCTGTTTAGCCACAGGCAAACAGCCCAGCAGGAACGGGCTCCTCTGAGTGTCCCCGGAAGAAAAGCACTCTATTTCAACCAGGTGACCATGAATTATATCTTACTCTCCTGAGGATAACACAGAGAGATAAAGAACGGATGTTGTTTGAATGCCAGCAAACATACACTGCAATGCTTTGTTGTACAATGATTCCCGAGTATGTGTTACTGGCCTGGAGTGGTAAAGTGTCCTACCATGAAGGACGCAATAAGGCTGCCCTCCCCAGAAACCTTTTGCAAAGGCTTTGGGAGTACATCCAGGAGAACCGCGAATGCCAGGGCAAAGTAATCCTTTCACATGCTTGCTTTTAAACCATGTATAGTATTTTAAAAGGTACACTCACCGGAGGTCCCTTCTCCGCCTGCTGGGTGCAGGAGGCAGCCTTGGGTGGGCTCAGGGGTACTGGCTCCAGGTCCAGGGTGAGAAACAGTTCCTGGCTGTCGGGAAAAGCGGTTTCTCTGCTTGCTTGCTGTGAGCTATCTACAACCTCCTCCTCATCATCATCTTCTTCATCCCCAAAACCTGCTTCTGTATTGCCTCCATCTCCATTGAAGGAGTCAAACAACACGGCTGGGGTAGTGGTGGCTGAACCCCCTAAAATGGCATGCAGCTCATCATAGAAGCGGCATGTTTGGGGCTCTGACCCGGAGCGGCCGTTCGCCTCTCTGGTTTTCTGGTAGGCTTGCCTCAGCTCCTTCAGTTTCACGCGGCACTGCTTCGGGTCCCTCTTATGGCCTCTGTCCTTCATGCCCTGGGAGATTTTGACAAAGGTTTTGGCATTTTAAAAACTGGAACGGAGTTCTGATAGCACGGATTCCTCTCCCCAAACAGTGATCAGATCCCGTACCTCCCGTTCAGTCCATGCTGGAGCTCTTTTGTGATTCTGGGACTCCATCATGGTCACCTCTGCTGATGAGCTCTGCATGGTCACCTGCAGCTTGCCATGCTGGCCAAACAGGAAATGAGATTCAAAAGTTCGCAGTTCTTTTCCTGTCTACCTGGCCTGTGCATCTGAGTTGAGAGTGCTATCCAGAGCAGTCACAATGGAGCACTCTGGGATAGCTCCCAGAGGCCAATACCGTCGAATTGTGTCCACAGTACCCCAAATTCGAGCCGGCAAGGCTGATTTAAGCGCTAATCCACTTGTCAGGGGTGGAGTAAGGAAATTGATTTTAAGAGCCCTTTAAGTCGAAATAAAGGGCATCATCGTGTGGACGGGTGCAGGTTTACATCGATTTAATGCTGCTAAATTCGACCTAAAGTCCTAGTGTAGGCCAGGGCCTAGAGAACAAAATTCCTAAAATGAACATAAAAATGGCCCCGTAGTCTGCTGTTAAGTTTGAAGGGTGTGTGTTAAAATACAGCAGAACTCCAGATGATATTAACAGGAGTTCCATGCAGACTCAGCAGGGCCACTACTATAGTCATTTAAATCATGTTAGATAAATTGAAACAGGAAGACTAAATATGTCTTTGGAATGAACTGATCTCATAATTTTTCATTTAATTGAACTATTTAGGAATCTTTAGCTAATTTTCTTATATACAGTATACATATATTTCAATATACGGCTGTGTTTTGCTTTTTTTTTTTTGGTTAAAAACAAGATGAAAGAAACGATGCATTTTTATTATGTAGATCATTATCTTGTGTAGCAGTGCAATTAGCTGTCTGCTGATCCAATAACATTGTTTAACCTCCAGCAATGAAGACACACACTGCATTAGGACTTTGAGATCCTGATGGAATATGTATTTTCTATCTAGAGTTATTACCTCTGAACAGCAACTGGCAAACCAATAATCTTTTTCACCAGCATTGAAAATAAATTCAGCCAAGGACGATAACTGGCCAACCATGAAATTGTGCACTTAAGCGAACTTCACACTGAAAACAGAAATGCCAGATGAAATTTATATAGGCCTGCTAGTCTTACATCTGCTGAGTCTTATTCTCCAGAATCTTCTTTACCAAAATCCATTTGTAATGAAAGCAACTGTCTATCTATTTGCTGTATCTATGTCAGTTTTCAGCTGTATATTGATCACATTTTTGTTCCCTAAAGTTTAAACAGCACAAATTATTCCCTTCATTCCAAACTTTTAAAAGAAAGTGGCAGCTTACAAACTTTATGTCTGAATGTCAGGAAAAGAACTGGTATCTTAAGGAAGCTACTGTACGTTTTTGATATTATTATAATGTGGGCTATAATGTGAAAAAGCATGATTTTAAAGGCTGGGAAATTGGAGAAGAGGCATTTTATGAAAAACAACAAAAAGTATGTGAGTTAAAAGTGTGTTTTGAATTAAAGCATGTATATGACTTGTTGGGCAGGAAGACAAAGTGATCTCTGGAAAAATATGACTTTTCTGTTTGCTTTTAAAAGACAGAATTTCATAATGTTGAATTTGTTCTTGTATGTTTGTTGTGTTCATTTTGTTATTTGCTTAAAAACAGAGGGAAGTCCTTAATAAACATGTTTTCCCATTGAATATTGATTTTAAGCCTACTTAATTATTTTTAATAAGGTCAAAAAGAGTTTTTTATGACTCAATTTTTTTCTTGAGCTTTCTCTATAGTTTTGAGAATACCCATTACACTGAGACAGAATCTGGACTGCTGCAGCTCATACTACATACAAGGTTGAGAAAATATTTTTCAGTAAATATAAAATACATACAGCAGAGAAATCATGGTCTCTCAGAAGTCCTATTGCCATAGATAGTCTAGAAGTGCCCATCTGAAGTTCTAATTTTCTCCACAACCAGCATTTTCCACACAAATCAAGTAGTTGCATATATAACTACCCAAATTCCATTAATACATTTCAGAGTAGCAGCCATGTTAGGCTGTATCCGCAAAAAGAAAAGGAGTACTTGTGGCACCTTAGAGACTAACCAATTTATTTGAGCATAAGCTTTCATGAGCTACAGATCACTTCAAATTTGAGGTTTTGGGCATGCCCAAATATGAATCCCGAATACAGTGAGTACAAATTTAGCCTCAAATTCTGTAACTGATAGCATATGGTGAAACTACTGTGACTGCATGGAGCCCTATGGAACTCAAGAGGGCTCTCTGCGGGGAAAGTAATCCACCCACACATTATCAACTTCAGGATCAGGATTATATGAGGTGGGTTAATACCATTCTGAAATTATGATCCACTGTGCCAGATCTTCGGGTGGTATGAATAGGTGTAGCTTCATTAATTTCAGTGGAGCTGCGCTGTTTTATACCACCTGAGCATCTGGCCCAATTATTATGTTTAATGTGTTTTATAAAATTAATTTTCAGTCCTGGCAAGCATGGCACAGCTTCCACTGGCTCACACAAGGGTGTCAGCTGGAATCTCAGCCCCAGCCCACATCCCCTCGCCATAAAACTGACTGTGACTCCTTCTGTGGCGGTGACGGATGTGAAGGAAAACCCCTAGCCTTACACCCACTTCCTCCCTAGAGCACCTAGTAAGGGCCTGCTATGGACCAGAGAGTCCATCCACTGGGTGAAATATAACACTGCCCTTACTCAGTGACAGAAAATCACACCCTTTGGCATGTAACAGTGCTTAGTTGCACTGAGTGCCCCAGAAGCAGATCAGGGACTGCATTGTACCTCAAGAGAGTGATCATTTGTACGCTCGTTCCCCCTTGCTCCAAGCAGGAAGTAAGTTGCACCATCGTATACCTGGCATACAGTAATTATTCCCCACGCAGGCTCAGCTCTACTGGCCACTGAGTGGAGTCGGGGAAATAGAGTCCAAGTTTACCCCCTCCCTGCCCCTGCATAACTGCATGAAAGGGGGAGTAGAAGCCGATAGAGGCTATTGTACACCCTGCACTGCAATCTATAGCCTGAACAAGGGAGTAAGGAGTAGCTTAAATGCAGTTTATATCCCCGTGCTGGCAGGCAGAGTGTCATGGTGACCTCATCTCAAGTTAGTAACTACGCAACAATCTATTGTAGTCTTGATCATGGTTTTCAATAAACAAATCCAGATAGTGGTTTTCGGTGACAACTTGTAACCACATTATAACCTGTGCACAATGGGGCAAAATTAAACTAGCTGAAACCATTTTTAAGTGGTATCCTAGCCTGGGCTTGTTAGCAATGTAGACAGGAGCTTGTTGGCAGATACAGAGCTAGTACATGAAGAAAGACCAAATAAAGGAGTGTTGTTCTGCTTGCATCATCCATTTCTGCAAATCATGGTGCTGAATTTTATATGGCCTCATTCAGAACATCTATAATAGAAAACCAATTTTCTATGACATCTTACACTAATCCAAGGTTGACTAGGAAAGGGATATATTAGCATCTTATCTGGACCAAGGCCATCAGTTGTTTTAAAAGGTTATTTTTAAGATCCTCCCCTCACACCCATGTAAATCAGGTATTGAAGTCAGTGAAGTGACAACAGTGTAAAACAGGCATATGTGAGAAAAGCATCCAACCCCTAAAAGCCATTAGTGCTACTATTATTACTCACCAATAACATTTTCTTTCTAAAAATGTGAATGACACTTAATTCTTAGCACATTAACAAACACTGTCACCTCCCTAGAAATATCAGCGGATAAACTGTTCATTTCCAATGCTGAGGTGCTGACAGACAGTGCAGCATAATGCTGCTCTAGTTGTGGGAGTTAGTCACCTCGTGTTTTGAAGTGATACAGAAGGAGCTGCCAAATTCCCAGGGGAATGATAATTCATAGGGCAGTTGCCTGCCACTTGGCATGTGTTTGCTTCATCAAAATGTTGCCAGTGAAATTGTTAGAGCCGGATGCAACTACAAAAAGCAAACAATTCACATTTTTGAATGAAAAAAACAATCTTTGGAGATTTAAGTAGGTTATTATGTGCATAAAGTTTTCTATGCCATACCCAGTTACATTTCTGTGACTCTGGATTTCTTTTAAATAGCTGAAATTCCCACAAAAACACAATTAAGTTCAAATAAAGATTATTAAGGTAATAAATCTAATTCTTACTCAAAATATATATCTCTAAAGCATTACCACTTAAAAAAAACCTAGCATCTGTACTAAAATACTGGAAATAACCAGGTACAGTAATTTACATGAATATTCTATTACCATTAGATTTCATACGTTTGGTTAATGGTATTACTGATCTATGAAAATACACCTTGCACATTCCAATATCAATGTTAATTCTTATCTCTAACACGTACTCATACACTCTTTCAACACATACATCACTTCTTATAGGCAGTGCTGGTAGCTCTGAAAACCAGTGGAATGAGGAGAAGGAGGTGGGGGCTGCTGCTGACCCATGGTATGTCTATTATTCCACACTAGGAAATTTGTTTTTTTTTAGTTTGCTTTTTTTTAAAAGGTAGTAAGTCACAGGAGTTGTGAAACAAAACAAAAACCCTATGTTAAAAGAACATTCAGATTGCAAGTCAGGCACTCAAAAGTTAGGAAGTACTGGAATTAAGGTTGACTGTCCAACTGTAATTCACCTCCCTTTTGTGCATGCATTATGATACAACAGTTAATGACACGATCACAGGCTATTTTTCTGTGGAATACCTGCCTCATATAGTGCTTGGGGATGAATCAGGGCTGAGTAATAAAGGAGACTGTTCTCTATTGGATTCCTTATTTATTTGTTGCAGAAGCTGAAAAGTGTGTAGTGAATGACGAACGGCACTGCAGGAAGAGAAAGGAAGTTCTCACCGTTAAGGCAGTTGAATGCTGCCCTGGAGAACAGGATTCTATCCCTGC